TTACGTAATTCCCAACCGAACCGGACACCCGACCGAACCGGACACCAACATCGATTCTGACCGCGGTCGAAAACTTGAAGCTATACACAACAACCAAAACACGTGTATTTCATTGAGTTCTATATATTTAGACGTGTAGGACAACCAGTTCTAATATGTCCCTGAATATGGCAATTAGAACATGTTGGTGGAGCACGTCTTGGCGCGTTGGAAGGTAGAGATGCAGAACCCATAGCTATCTCCTGTATCTCATCTCCTTGCTCGTTTCTCTGGTGTATGAGATCTCTCGCTTCCTGTACAGAAAGGCCTTGATTAGGAGACATCTGGCGCCTTGATCGCCCTCGTTTCTGCTTCTCTTTCTCGTTTGCCATACGGAGATCGTGGTTTTCCTGTGCTAGAATAGCAGCGTTGTATAGAGCTATCTCACAACCCTTTATTATCTGCTGTAGCGCCCGTTTTGAAGGTGTTGAAGGACTTTGAGAACCCTTTTTGAGTAGCTTCTTGACTGAGGAAGCCTGCTTATGTAGTTGACGGATTGTATGAGGTGTAGCTAGCGTTGAGGAGCTTGTAGAGTGCCCGCTACGGCTTCCTGGGGGGGTAGGAGTAGATAGCTTAATATTAAGCTTATCAAGCACCCTCTGTGGATCAAAAGGATAGATACCAGCTGCAGCGAAGCCGTTTTGAATGTTCTGAGCTTTAAAGACTTCCTGGCGAGCTATAGGATAGGCCTTTAGAAAGTCAAGCTTGTCAATATGGTTGAATCCAAGGCGCATCTTTGACTCCACAAGACCTCCATACGCCCGCTTTAAGGGACCAAAACAACCAACATCAAGAGGCTGTAGAGATGAGAAGAATGAGAGGCATGCAGATAGCTATAATATTGTTGTCGCTGCATGCTTTATCAAAGCAGTGTGAGATGGCTTCATGGCCATCTAAACAAGCATCGATATCGACAACTGTACGCTGCTGGTGAAGGAATAAAGACCTTTTGAAGCCACCGGAGGCCTATCTCATCTGTTGTCCAACCATTCTGACTGATTTCAATCCTCCAATCACTTGGTAGAAGGCCTTCTTCAAACCATCCTTCAATATGGACCTTTCCTTTGAAGATAATGCATGAAGGAAGACTCCAACCACTTGAATTGATACACTCGATTGTTGTCACCCATTCCCGATTGCCTGGTTGAATAAGATGAGGTTTTCCAGGCATATTGGACCTAGATACTACCTTAGTAGTAGCTATTACGCCCATTGCAAAGCCCGTTTCGTCAAAGTTGAAGATATCCTCATCTAGGATACCATATTGTAATCGAACCTTCTGTAGTTGCTCAAACCACTGTTGTATAACCTTAGGATCCTCACATTTCGCTCGCTCGTAATTATATTTTCGTGCAAATTGACTTCTGATCTCGTCACGGCGTTTGATAAGGGCTGATACCCAGTTCTTGCCTATAGGTGTGTATCCAGTTGGATTATCGGTTCGAAGAATAATATTAGCCATCTCCTGTACATGGGAAGGCCTAGGAGGTACTCCACGTGAATCCCTAGATAGTATCCATTGTATCAAAGCATCTTCCTGAGTTTGAGATAGCCTGTGGCCATTGGCACGTTGTTCGATTCGAAAATGGTGGCCAGTCAGTCGGTCATGAAGTGTAGATTTAGGCACATTAAAAACCTCCGCTGCACGACGAACACTTGGGATTTCGTTGTTTTTTAAAGCAGAGATCGCGAGTTGGATCCTCCCCTCTTGTTCCACCAAGTCTCGAGACGATAGACGCGATTTTGGTGGCATGGTGGTTGTTTGAATAGCTTCAGTATCCTAAACGCGTGGACTTTGGATGGGGTGTCCGGCTCGGTCGGGTGTCCGGTTCGGTTGGGAATTACGTTACGTTAGACACAGAGGCTGACTAAGCCTTACTAAGTCACATGATCACAATGTTACATAAGCGGATACCGCAACCCTGTCCAGATATGTGTCACGTGAGCGTATCCAAATTAGGCTTAGCGTTGTCTTGCTTGCCTCGCCTTTATGTGAGTCATCTGTATGAACCTCTCTTGTGTTTTTTTTCTTCCTTTCCTCGTGCTTGGATTCTCGTAAACAGCTGATTGTAGCTATCGAATCAAGCTTTCTTACACAATGACAGTGGCACACCTCCCTATGCGCAGCCACCATCATCTCCATGCTCACCTCCCCTTCCGCCAGAAGTGACGTCTCGAGCTATGCTCATAGCTCGAGAGTGAGTTCCGCCGGCTGCTTGATGGCATCAATCCTCTCTTGATTGGCCCACTAAGGGGAATGGGACACAGCTAATGGTGCTACTACGGTCCACAGACAGACAAAAAGCTACGTGGGAAAAGTTGACAGTTGATGTGAATAAATTCTCCCTCCTGCCTTTTTTGTCCCTCCCCTCTGAAAACTACACAATATGGCCAAGTATTGACATAACTGGATAAATAGCTGACAAACAAGATTGTGCGAGTAAATGCACCCCGGACCATCAATGAATGCTGGTTCATCCACGGTAGTGAAACAGATACTGCTAGATATCCGGTCAACAAACTCTCCAGCCGTGGCGAAGCCAACAAATGGCCACTGCACCGGATCCTCTTCTTTTTGTCCTCACCCGGCTCCCTTGCAGGAGCAGCAGGACAGCAGGTGGCCCATCTCTGTGGACAAGCCCGGTATGACTTCAGCAGAGGCATTAATATCTCCTGCATCAACCCATACCACTTGGTGCAGGTGGCACACCAGGTCAACCTTGATCACAACCTTTGCCGGCGGTCCTGCGCAGCCTGGTGACCACACCGTCCACGATGCATCTTTACAAACGAAAATCGGCGGTGGCTGCCCTGCTGCAACCGCGTGCCGCTGCAGTACCCGTGTCTCTATGCAGAGACATACTTCCCGGAGGATGAGGAGGAGCAGCAAGGGAAGAAGGGGGGCGGAGCAATAGTTCGACACCTGGATTATGAGAAGAATTCTTGACCTTGGGGATTTGACCTGTCTACATAGCTCCGATCACTTTATTTCGCTGACGGAAGATTTTCTCCATTACTCGTGATACCATACAAAAACATCTTTGTTTGTATCAACGGTGTCAGATTGCCCTGACCAGCGACTCCCAGCGACTCTCACTAATTCGAGACAAGACCTCTGAGAAAGTCAGCTTCCAGATTGATGAAAATCAAGCTCTTACACATGTCTATGGAATGTCATGAGTTTGGATGATGAAGCTCATCTCCTAACCTAGATGAATAACCCCATGCAAGACAGTGGCTAGGAAAAGGGGGGAAAAAAAAACTAGTCGATGGTGTGGAGGATCAAGGAGAAATCCAAAAATTTTTGCTGGAACAACCATACACCGTCTTTCTGATCCGTTTCCTGTGATATTCATACCGAGTCTGTCACGACTTGAATCGCTTTGGTAGCCATCTCACGTTCAACATGTCAATGCACACGCTATCAATCGAATGCCTTCAACGAGATGTGCAACAGCTCGTCCGTGCTCCTAGATTCTGCGACGGAATCCTCATCTTTCGCCTGACGAGCATTCTGTCCTCCTCGCCTCTCCTCCTATCTGGCCGAGCTGCCCAGTTTTTTCCCCATACGCTGCTACTCATGGATCCTGCTCTCAAAGTATGCACCGGAACATATGTTTCTAGCATTTCCAGGGAAGCTAAAAGCAAGGTATAGTAAGAATAGACGGCACCAAGTACCTGACCCATCGGGTCACTTACCAGTCGCTATACGGAGACCTGCAAGTCGGTATGGATGTGAGCCATGCCATGTATATTGGCAAACGAACGTCTCTGTAAGAACTTTCCCATCGTTGGCCGCGCAAGCTGACGGATCCCTATAGCAACATCAACCCACGCCATCTGGTCCTCGAGACAAATGGGGTTAACCAAACTCGAAAGTTCTGCTTCTCTTATATGGAGGAGATGTTGTGGCGGTGGGAGGTTGGTTTGCTTGGGCCCCCTCACTGGGGCAATGAGGATTTTCGTCGTTATGTCGCGAGTTCCAATATGCCGTGTGCGATACTCCGCAGGCACAAAACCTGTGATTGTTGTGTGGAGCTATGGGAGGAACTAGACTGTGACGAAGGGTAGACCGATTAGTAAAACTAGGGAACGTCAATTCTCATCTTTAATAATTATGGTCTAGCAGATGCTTAGTATAGGTAGTAAAGCATTATATTTATCCATATTAGCTAACTATTTAGTAGTTATTAGTACAGCTCTAGTCTAGTGAGACTCCGAAGTGATCGCATGTTTTCGAAAGCTATAGCTACAGAGCGGAGGTTATGTATCCGGAGCGAATCAATCAAAGTACGGAGTACTCCGTAGTCCGTACTCCGCTCCGTATCTCCGAGCAAATAATGGCTGATCGCCTGAAGCTCCCGGGTGGAAATCGTGACCTCTGAATTGGGTAATATCTCTGGCTACATGACCCCAAATATCACATACACCACACATAAATCGAGCTACGAGGACGTAGCTCGGAACTGCCTCTTTGTACACTGATGAGATATAGAAGTCACCGCATTTCCTCCAGTCGAGGACCGGAGGTAAGCATGCCTGACCAGGTGGTTGTTAATAACCACCATGTGCGAATTACTCCCCAGCAGGTTTGCTGCCTCTTTGATCTCCTCCTGTCCTTAGACAAGTATGTTCGCCTGATGCCCAGCCTCTGCGCTCCTAACAACCTAGCAGAGGAAGGGATTGCTAATTGCAGTAATCGCACACTATTTGAGGATTGAAGGATGACAACAAAGAATTGCCTGCCATCACCTCCCTTACCAAGGTACTCCGTACTCCGTACTAGCCGGGGGCTCCGTAGCAGGCGGCGATGGCGCTGAATAGCTATGAGATCGACCCCCTGATCGACGCCCTCCGTGGTCACCGACTTGGTGCCACTGCCAACGACCGGTTACTCGCCGGTCAGCTTGCCTCGCAGGAGATTGCTTGGCGCAGGGACACTCATAGAGAGCCAGCCATGAATGGGATTACAATCATTACATCGAACCACAATGGCAATAATAACAATAACCCCTTCTATACGGAGTACTTTCCTCCTCTACGACTGCGTTTCCTAATACTGTCACACTGTCTGCGAGATAGCCAGATTGTGCAATGACCAGTTTACTTTGCAAGAGGCGGGCCAACCTCGGCCAATTTGGAAATAATCCAGGGGAACCTGCACGAGCATGTTGCCAAGGTCGACAAGGCCCTGAAGGACACCAGGGAGGCCCAGGAGACTCTGGACCGGCTTCGCCGCCAGTTCCAGTAATAGTGCTCTCGGGCAAGAAAAAAAAGCGCACGAATTGTTTTTTTTTGAAACTTACGCCACCACTCCAAAGCCCACTACCCTCAGAATTTGCCCAATTACTCCCTGCGACAAGCGCTGTGGACTGATCCTAATATTATTAGCATTTTTTTTTCGATAGCGGCACCAAAAAAGGAAAAAAAAACGCGTGGCCATCGCTCACGATCACGCTCAGGGACCAGCCACACAACCAACCCTAATAGTGTATCGCAAACATCAAGCATGGCTCCCAGTCCCTCATTCACCATATCAAGATCGCTAAAAAGACAAAACTTCCTGTCATGATCCCCATACCATATTTGAAAAACACCGTCTCACGAAGACTTGCCAGGGATGGGGTGTAGCTAGTCCTGGATGCCCTTAATTCTTCCACCGCGTCTGTATATATAAGTGAGAGCAATGTGAAGCCATTATATCTTTTTCTGGTAACTGAGGGAAAGCGATCCGCGGTGGTCTGGAGGATCTCTGGAAAAATGCCCAATCAGAGTTTTTGAATACCGAAGCCAGGTGACTGTTACGATCCTTGCATCCAATAAGAACTTGAAGAAAGTGACTGCACGCCAGAGCCAATCTTGTCGCATGTAGAGCGCTGTCAACTCGCTATACTTGATATCAAAGAAATTCGACAGCACATTTCTCTGAAAACTCGCTTTTACCGGTGCATCGAAACCAGACGTAGCGCACGGAGATCTGCATTGTATTATCACGTGACGAGTCCAATTTGGACCAGGGTCTCAATTCAACAACCTCCGTCGTTGCAGTCCTTAACCCAGCATCCTCCACAGTACATGTAGTGATGGAGATGAAATTGCAATATATATCTTACAAACAACCTGTTCACTTGATCTTATTATACTTTAATGCAACATCTTGTCGAATTTGAACCGAAATCCTTGAATTCGTCTCAAAATGCAGTCCTTCACCGCCGTTTCGTTCACTGCCTCCCGGCTGAGTGAGCGTTCTGCTGCTGCTGCTACCTGTCCAGTAGTGGAAATCGAAAATGACCATTCTCGCAATATAATAAAACAGGAACCCGACGACCAGGAGTTGTCTGATGCCAACTCCACAGTGTCTACCCAGTCCTGGTCATGGAGAGGTCGAGGGAATTCTTACGCGTACCGCTAAGAATCTCCCTGAAAGGCCTTCGAGACTCATGCGGGATCTGGCAGCCATGCCGGTTCGACGGGAGCCAGTCCTCCGCAAGACTGATTATCCTATAAACTGGGCCCACTACTACAATCGAGAAGCGGTACTCGCGCAGGCCGTTGGGACCGTCAACCCAATACCCTGCGAGTCCTGCAAGAGGACGGCTGGACCTTTTACCGAGTGTGTTTCTGTGACCGGCTTCTTTAGCGGGAGCTGCTCGAACTGTCGTTATAATAGGATGGACACCCGCTGCAGCTTCAGGAGTAAGTGATAATCAGAATATCCACATATACGGGGCATGAATAAAACCGGGACTAATCAATATCACACTTTGCAGAGGCAACCAATGCCACTACCACAGCTTCTCGTCACAATAGGCGGGGAAAGAAGCGGCCTGGCTGCGCCCCGTGCCGGTCGACGCAATCAGGTCCTGGGCAACCTGTGTACTGCAGCCGCGCACGTTGCAGAAGCTGCTGCTGCAAATTCCAGATACACGGCCGACAAACTGAGGACCGTGGCAGGGCAGGACCCCTCGTCCGCTGCCGTAATCGAAGCTCTGGCGGCCAATGCTGACGTCTCTGCTGTTGCGATGAGTGCATTGGCGCAAGCCGTTCATGCAGCTGCTAGAATGGCGTTGGAGGACTAAGCAGGGAAGTTGGAAGGTTGTGAGAGAGGTCTGTGGGCTTGTAACTTTGTTTACTCATTTTCCTCTGTTACTACTGGCAATATGGTCTTTAATTTTAATGGGTTTGGTGGCGAAGAAGCATAACAGAATCCTCCCTGTTCTTGGGCCCAAGCTTGTTTGAAGATCTGTCTAAACTGAAAATTAAGTTCTAGAAAGCAGAGTGTGAAAATAAAAAAATTCCACGTATATAGAATAATGCGAATGAGTAAAACTGCACTGACCCATCTTGTAGGAATAATATACCTGCCTGGGTAGGTCGCCACCAAACTCCTTCCGAAAAAGGAAAAGGAAGTACCACTGCTGTCTCCCGTACCACGATTGGCTCGCTTAGCAGGCGTGAGTAAATCACCTAGCGCACGGACCACCAGACCGAAGGTATAAATATCCCCCGTCGCCCGCCCGTCTTTTTGTTTTCTTTTTCTTTCCTTTTCTTCTCCAGCTCTCTTTGCCTTTTGGCTTAGATCAAGTGTAGTATCTGTTCTTTTCAGTTTAATCTCTGAAAGTGTTCTACGGAACACAACATTGATTAATCTCATTTTTGGACCTCGCGATGGGGCCTCTGCGCTTGCGCACACCTCGTCGCACCGTGTCCTCGGTCTTACACTACCACCGAGTGACGCGAACAAACCTTTTTTCATCATTCTCATCGGCTTGTCCGGTGGGCTGGAGAAGAAAGGTTGATTTCCTGTCGCGATGTCCTTCCTGAATCAGGTCACAGTACTGTCTCGCCTTGTTTTTTTTTTCGCGCTCATCGCCATCCGCTAGTTAGATGTTTGATACCTCTACCTGTCTTTCCTGACCCAGTTCGCTAGAATAATAAACAAAGCTGTTCGATCGCAAAGATAATCCTGGATTTTCTCTTGTACAGCTTTCGTGCCACTGATTCTATGTGCGTCTGTCTCATTTAGTAGATTTACCTTCTCTTCTGGAGATCGACATCGTAGCCATATAAGGCCCTGGATGTTTACTGTACGCGTTCCCTGTCGTGCGGTCGCAAATATTAGATGCTTGGGTGACGGTTGCGGAGGTCTTAGAGATCTCCAGCGATTTGTCGCCACTTTCAGGACAGACAACTGAGCTCGAATCAACACACGCTGGGACATGGAGGATAGACACCACACTTTGAGATCAGCATAGCCGTATTAGTGCAAAGCAACTGGGCATTGTACACCAGAGTATTCTCCTCTCTTTGGACTGGACTGTAATGTTGACTACGTAAGGCGATGATAATATTGGAAGCGACATGGGGCTCGTTTAATGCCATGGTTTACGAATATTTATACCAATATGCGGATTAAAGTATTTCTTTCTAATTTTTCATATTTTTTTCTGTTTAGCTTTGCTTAATGATTTCTCTCGTTCTGGCATCAGGCAACTAGTTATCTGCCTGGATATGATATGAGTCATCCGAGGCAGAAACTGGTCACGATTACAGAGAGCCCCTAAAAAGAGAGAGAGATCCTTGTTTGAGAACTCCATGAATGGAAAAGTGGCCAGCATTGCCTGTGATTTCTTGATTTCGCGTAAGTTCTCGACGAATTCCTTCCCTGTCGTAGTTTAGAAAAAACATCATAGCTTGACGAAATTTCCTTCCACTCCATTTGAGCGCCTTTTCATAGATGCACCTCGCTTCGCGCCACTATATTCGATTCAACCTGCTGCTTCGACGTGTGGTTTTCTCGCAGTTTCTTGTGAACCCTTTTGGTGTGGATCCCGGCCACGCATGACAATCGTCGCAATCGATTTCATCGTTTGATCGGCATATAGAAGCGGTTGACCTAACTCCAGAAGCCCAGCGATGATCGCCGGCTCGAGCTGGAGGACCAACCACGCATTGACTTTCCGGGACAGGTTTTCCCACGTGCGGTATCTTCGGTGCGTCTCCTTCGGCCGGGCTATGTCGGAATCGACCAAATCGCTCAGATAGTACTTATTCAACTGCGTGCGCACGAGGAACTCCCAGGTATGATAACGTAATTCCCGGCCGCTCCGATCACCCGGTCGCTCCGATCACCCACCCGCACCTTCAAATACTGTGCAGAATTTGAAGTTTTATTACTACCCAAAACAGCAATTATTTACAAAAATTATGAATTAGAGCGATTAGGGCATCGAGTCCGTATATGCCCAATAGTTCCACAGTTAGTACACTTTGGCGGCGCGCGCGTACGAGGTGCAGAAGCTGCCTCCGCGGCCGTAGTAGCCATAACCAGCGGCACCTGATTTTCATCTGAAATTTGACTTTGAATAAGAGCCTGCGCTTCCTGAATTGAAAGACCTCCTTCATGAGAT